CCCCTCCCCCTACTTCCCTCTTAGTACCAGGTCTTGAACTCACGATGTTAAGCTTACCAGGCAAGCACAGTGCCACAGACCTATATCCCCAGCCCCTCTAAAGATTAGTTTTTAAAGGAAAATCTGAGTTGAAGCAAAGAAAAATGAAAAAATTGTAACTTTGTAATATAATCATTTTAATGTTTTAGCGTGATACATCCCATTTTCCTATTCCTTCCTTATCTATATGCACTGCCCTCAACATTAAGAAACCATCTGTAACATTTGAAAAATCACATTTAGGTTGTCCCAGCAGCCAAGCCATCTGGGAACATTTACATCATGAAACAAATAAGAATGAGAGTCAGTTGCATACCTAGACAAGTACTGCTATGTAATTTATAAAATTGTGTACAAACTAGACTGAAGGTAAAATTGCTGTCACTGAGCATTTAGGAGGAGGGAACTCAGAGGATGGTGAGATCAGAAGGCAACTGTAGAGCTAAGAGTGGACAAGAAATACTTTGGAAACCAGAGATGATAACTGATTCTTACAGTGGCACATCAGTGTCATAAGTCAGAGCACATAAAAGGATTAGAAAAAAGGTGAGTACCCAAATTCCCATGTTAAAAAGTAAAGAAAAGTTAACTATATCAGCAGTTTCTCTCTGTATGTCTAACAACATTAATCTCCAGGGTTCAAGTTTACCTCAGTTTCAGTTCATCAGCCATAAAGAGCATGAACTGTAAACACTGTTTCATCTGTGTTTACATGTCCACACATACAAATCATAGTATACATTTATTGAATTTAACCAAAGACTATTTTACACTATAAAATGTTTTAAGATGTGTTAAACTTTGAACAATCTTCTTAAATTTGTCTTGGCTAATGTTACTTGTTTTACTATCTTGTTCAGTTCTTTACCATGTCAGAATTCATGAATTAAAAAAAATTTAATTCTATCTTCTCATAAAACAATAAAAATTTAATGTCTAGCTGAAAATACAGCATTCTTTTTCTTAATTCTATCACAAAAATATAAACCATCTAAAAAGGAAAAAATATATTCTGTTCTAGTCAGTGCTCTGAAAATACTGAAAGGAAAAGTATTAAATGCTAATAGTTGTTTTTGGATGATGGATTTATGAAAACATTTCTTCCTTGTGCTTTGT